TCGTCAATTGTAGTGATAAAATTATAACCCTTCACTCTCTTAAAAAGAAACAATCGTAGGATTATAAGAAACTTTGTTTTGTAAATAAATATTTTCTGAATATTTATAAATTTTTATTCATTTAAGTATTGCATGTAAAAGATTTTTAAGATTTAGATTTGTTTGTCTTTTTCTAACCTCTATGATGCATAGCATATGAATTCTGAGTCGTCAATACAGACGATCCCTATTGTCTGTAACTTTCCATATGTTTTTCTTAAAGAGCTATCAGGTCTACCACCCAGACAGGAGATCGAGTTCTCCATTGATCTAGTCCTAAAGACACAACCAACCTCCAAAACTGCCTACCAAGTGGGCCGAATAGAACTTCTAGAGTTGGAACGTTAGGTCACAGCATTGAAGGAAAAGAAGTTTATCAGACTAAGTCATTCTCCTTGGGATGCTCCAACTTTGTTTGTTAAGAAGAATGATGAAACCCTCAGGTTGTGTATTGACTACGGGGAACTCAACTAGGTGACAATCAAAAGTAAGTATCCTTTACCTGGTATTGATGACCTATTTAATCAATGACAAGGTGCACTAGTCTTTTCTGAGATTGATCTCAGATCGGGCTATTACTAGTTGAGGGTTGAGGCTGAAGATATTCCCAAAATGGTGTTCCATTGTAGGTATGGCCAATTTGAATTTAGGGTCACGCCCTTCATGTTAACCAATGCCCATGCAGAGTTTATGGACCTTATAAACCGAATTTTCAAGCCTACATTGGATCAGTACATCATTATTTTTATTATTGCCATCTTAATGTATTCCAAAGACCCTCAAGAACATGTCATTCATCTAATTCAAGTCTTAGATACTCTTTGACAACATCGACTTTATGTCAAGTTAAGTAAGTGCTCCTTTTGGTTGAACCAAATTTCTTTTCTAAGTTATATGGTTTATGGTGATGGAGTTTCTGTTGATCGCTCAAAGGTCGAGGCTATAATTAATTGGAGTTAACCGACCAATATCACACAAGTTCACAGCTTTGTGGGATTGTCAGGATATTATCAGCACTTCATTGAAGGCTTCTCCTGGATTGCCACTCCTTTAACTTGCCTTATTAGAAAAGGTATCATATTTGATTGGGAGACAAGATATGAAAAAAGTTTTATCCAATTTAAACCTCGACTTACCACTACTCTGGTGTTGATCCTTCTTGACAATACTAGTCGATTTCAAGTTTTCTATAATGCGTCTCATGTTGGTTTAGGATGTGTACTCATGGAGCATGGTCGGGTAATAGCATATGATTCCAGACAACTAAACCCACATGAATGTATTTACCCCACTCATGATCTTGAGCTTGTCGCCATTGTTTTTACCTTGATCATATTGCATCACTACCTATATGGTCAGATTTTTGAATTCTATACTGATTATAAAAATTTGAAGTATTTATTTTCCCATAGAAAGTTGAAAATGAAATAGAGGCATTGGTTGGACTTCTTGAAAGAATATGACTGTAAGATCCTATACCACTTAGGTAAGTATATGCCCTTAGTCAAAATGACTCAACCATGTTAGCACAATTGATGGTTTCTAGTTGAAGGATGCTTAAGACAATTTAAGGTCTCTAACTGAATCATTACGGTGAAGGTGCATAACCTGCCCAAATTCATATCCAACCCACTTTTTTCATGAGAATTTGGGAAGCCCAATCTATGGATCCTAAATTTTAAAGCACATAGACAAGTTTGCATCCGAGGAATCTTTTGATTTCAGAATAACTGATGGTGGAGTTTATAGGTTTCGAGATCAAATATGGGTACTCAACGACTCTGAGGTCATGTTGGATGTTATGAAAAAGCTCATGCATCCAAGTTGTCTATCCATCTTTGAAGTACAAAGATATATCTAGATTTGAGGCACTATTTCTGGTGGCCTGATATGAAAAAATGATATTTTTGAATTTGGCTCCCAATATCTCACTTGCCAACAAATCAAGGTATAGCATCAGAGACCCAGTGGTCTTCTGCATGGTCTCCCTAGCCTAGAATAGAAATAAGAGCATGTGACTATGGATTTTATCACGGGTTTTTCGAGAACTAGTTCATATCATAATGTTATTCGAGTCATTGTCGATAAATTACCAAATCTATTCATTTTTTTACAGTTAAGATTATAGATTCAACTAGTAAATTGGCTAGGTTGTATGTGGAGGAGAATGTCAGACTCCGTGGTGTTCCAGCTTTCGTGGTTTTAGACAGGGATCCTCGTTTTACTTCTCATTTTTTGGAAAAGTTTCCAGTAAGCTCTTTGCTCCAGCCTTTATTTCAGCACTACTTACCATCCACAAACTAATGGACAGTCTAAACGAACTATTCAGACGCTGGAGGACTTGTTGTGTGTCTATGTATTGGATTTTGGTGGCAGTTGGGATCAACATCTCCCCCTCATTAAGTTTGCTTACAACAACAGCTATCACTCTAGTATTTATATGGCTTTATATGAAGCTCTCTATGATAGGCCATGCCAATTCCTAATCTATTGGTACGAAATTGGGAACCAGCATCTCCTTCAGACGAATTACGTCTAAGAGACTGTTGACAAAGTTGCCATCATTTATAAGAATCTCATTAAAACTCAGAGTCATTAGAAGAGTTATGCTGACAATAGAAGGAGAGCTTTAGAATTTACTATTAGTGACCAGGTTTCCTCAAGGCATCTCTATACAAGAGAAAAATGCAGTATGGGAAGAAAAGAAAGTTGGGTCCTCAGTTTATTAGGCCTTTTGAGATTTTGGAGCATATAGAATCCATGGTATACCATATTGTTTTGCCCACTGAATTTTTCAGTCTATATGATGTTTTTCATGTCTCCATACTCAGGAATTATCACTATGATCCTTCTTAGATCATCCTGCATCAGCAAACTCTTTTATGTTTAGACATGGCTTATACAAAATACTCTACCGAGATCATTGATCAGGTGGAGAAGGTTATGAGCAACAAGATGATTCCAATGGTCAAGGCGTTATGACAGCATGACACTCTAGATGAAGCAACATGGGAATTAGAAGATAAAGTGCTGAATAAGTATTTGAGTTGTCTTAAAAACTTTTTCAAATTTGAAGGACCAAATTTTTGTAAGGTGGGGAGGATGTAACACACTGAAACCTTTGTATTCAAATGCCATGTTTTTTTTTAAACTTCATGTTTTAGTGAATTACGATATTTTATGTTAATTTTAAATTTTAATCAGTATTCAAAATTTTATTATGCTTGATCTTATTTTAATTTTTAATTTTTAAAATTATTTATTCTTATTTTTAATTATTTTGCACTAAAAATTATTTGTAAATTTTTAGAAAAAACGAAAGAAAACATAAAATAGTGAAACTCCGCGAACCTGCGGGAATAACCCACAAGCCCGTATTCCCGCGTGCTTGCGCCCATGCACCAACTGCGCACGTGGGGCTATCACGTCGATGTGATAGTGCACAGGCGCAAGTTGTCGCGTCGGGCCACCTACGCGCACCTACATGCTTGTGTGCCTATGTGCTGTGTAGATTATCTTTTCAGCTTGCAACAACCGGCGCCGCGTGCGGTCACTTGGTTACCAACTAACGGACAGGTTGTCCTGTCCCTCTGTCATGTCTACCTAGCCGGGCGTGCATGGCCACCGTAGGGCGCACATGCACGCCGCATTGTGAGTGGCTGATTGGCTACTTGGCATATTGGCAGCCGCCGATCGCCCATGTGATCCGACGACCCCCGTTTGTCCGAAAAATCTATCTAAAGTGCCCTCTCTCTCCCTTTCACTTCACACATTTCTTCTTCCTCAAGTTTTAGAGAGACTTTAGGAAAAATTTGTGAGAAAGTCAAGAGAGATCGGGGGTTCAAATTTCTTCGTACAGTTTATAAATCGTTGAGCAATCTTTCCATTCTTTCCTATTAGGACTTTGAAAAGCATTAAAGGCTTCGGTAAGGAATTTCTTAATATTTTCTTGTATACTTCTAAGCTAATTTTTAGATAATTAATTTATGATTATGGATTTGTCTTTATGCATGAAATTAAATAATGTTTATTAATTATATTATACGAGTGGATATATATGTTAGTAGTCTTCCTTAAAAATGAAAATGTATGTTTAGATCGAACTTCAATGATACTTGATATATGTGCGAATTTGACCCTCTACCTTACCCTTGGATGATGGTGGAGAGGGTTATTCTGTCAAGGCTTGGCTCAAGAAGGTGACCCAATGGCGAAGTCCAGGTATAAAGGCCTCTTATGGTTAGGATATGTTGATTGGATCTTACTAAAACACCCCGAATTTTTACACTTAAATGTGGTGTCAAACTCAATTATTTTGGGCTTCATGGCAATTTAAATTCTATTGGTTTTTTGTTTTTAAGGTTATTTTTATTTTTATGTTTATTTATTTAAATTGTTTCAAAATTAATTTAAATTGTTTTAAAAATATTTTCAAGAAATAGGAAAAGAAAAAATGAAAAAGGAAAGAAAAAAAAAAGAAAAGAAGGGGAAAATCACCAGAAATAAATAAGAAATGGCCGCGGCACTGTGCGCGTCGCGTCGCACAGTCGCATGATAGCCACCTGTGCGTAGCACTGTGCATGCAGGCGTGCATGCAATCGGCCTGTGCGCAAGCACTTTGGCACAGACGTGCCCACAAGGCAGTCCCTTGTGCGTAGCACGCGCAGGCCATGTGTGCTGTCATCATGGGGACACGCCTTCTGCCGCGCACGGACACGCCTCCCGCGCGTATGAACACGCCTCCTACCGTGCAAAAACGATTCCTGCGGCGCAGTCACCTTACTGTCAGTTGCCTACCGTGTCTTGTCACCTCCTTTTGCGTTCAACCAGCCACCTACTCCGCCACATGTCCCCTTTGGATGTGTGCCACGTGGCAGACATCCAAGACCTCTTCCATGGCTATTTAAAGGGGCTTTTCTCTCCGTTTTCTCTTCATTTCCATGTTCCTATTCCATTCTTCCGTTTTTTAGAAAATTTAGTGAGAGAAAGAGAAGTCTAGAGAGAGAGAAAGAAAAGTAAAAGCAAGAGGACTTCTCAAAGATTGCTAAAGCCTTTTTTTCTTCTTTCAAAGGACAAATCAAACTACAATTATGGTAAGATATTTTTTTGATAATTTTTCTTATATTTCTAAAAGAGTTTTTCTAGAAAGATAAATTAAAATATTGAATGATTTGATAATTTATTGTTATTTATGAAATACGAAATTCTTGAGTATGGTGATTTTGGTGTTTGAATTTTTACTGTGATTGATTATTGTTCATTTGAGTATGAAAAATAGAATTATTGAGCATGTTGCATAAAAATTGGAAATGCATGCGAGTTTAGCCCTTTACCTTATCATAGTCATGATGAAAAGGGTTATTCTAGTGAGTCTTAGCTCAAAAGGATGACCTGAAGGTCAAGTTCGAGTAAAATGGGTCTTAGGCTAAATATTTTATAAGATTTCCATCAGGATCTAAACATGTGACTGATATGAATGAACATCGAATAAGAAAGTGAAAAGAATGAAAATGCTTTTAACTGTTATCTCTGAGGGCTTTTTGTCTCTCTATATTCTGAATATAAAATATTGGTGAACTACTCCCTGTGAATGATCGATATTCTCTCTGACGATAGTGAATTCACAATATGATATGTAGGGCCACAATGGTGACGTATGACCATGGTCATAAATTGTACCTAACATATGAAAATAGAACTGACCCAATATAGAAATAGAACTGATTAACAATTCAAAGTGTTAGTCGGGAATCCCCTCTGCCTTAGTGGATATATGTTGGAATGGCTTCGCACAGAGGTTGATAAAAGATTTAAATAAAATACATACATGACTCAGATAGTTGTTGACACTCTATGGTGATTTTTTATGATGGTTCTTCTATATTATCTTGATCTTATTGTGTTCTTAGTTAGTTCAACTAGTCTTTTATGCAACGCTTGATTTTGAATTGACTCTATATTTTCTCTCTTTATTGATTGATATGTTGATGGTTTTCTTAATGAAAAAAAGATTTTTTCTTAATATTTTAATTGAGTTCATCAAACGACGACTTCTGAGGTAAGTTATTTAATTGAGAAATGACGTTTTATTTAAAAGGTAATCACCTTTATAAACCTTAGCTGTGTAGTTTTAATATTGTTTCCCTTTCTGAGTTATATGGAACTCACCCCAATCTATGCCCCCTCTAGATGATGGAAGTGATGATTCGTTAGTTGAGTTGCCTTTTAAAGCTTGTCTAGATCCCTTCTTGGATACTTAGAATGTTTATGAGTGCAATATTTTGTGCACACTCTAATGACACCTGTTTCTAATTAAAATGACTCTTACTTTTGTATATTCATATTTTGGTAGCCAACCTTTGACTTCAGGTGTAAAATGGACCTTTAATTTTCTTGTAAGAGATTTGACGTGACCTTAGGAGGGCTTTCCAGTTACCTGGGAAGCAACCATCAGATTTCGCGTCAATCTGGTGACAAGGTCTGAAAGAAGCTTGGACTAAGGAAACGGAGTCTAGATTCGATAACAAGACCCATTCCCATAAAGCCCAAAGATCTAGTTCGTGCAAGCTTAAATAAGGTAAGATGGATCATTGATTCCATCAAGACTGGAAATCCTTATGGGCTGCTAAGACAACTGACCCAAGGAAGCATCAATGGCAATGAGTTGGGGGCTTTTGGATTGATCATAGAGGATGAAGATGGTGTGTCCAAGACTGCGCACAGAGGGGAGGTACCTGAAGGGGGGCAACCTGCGTCACCTGACCCGCCATTTGGCCTGTTAGGCCCAACCCACGGCCTAACAAGCCACGCACCCAAGAAGAATGTGTAGCCCATGCCGCACTCCCCTGCAGGTGGGCTGATCGAGGCCCATCGAGAAGACCTGAAGGCCGACCCTCATCCCGAGGCCCGATTTAGTGGACCTGCACCTAAAGGAGAAGAAATTGGGCCATAAGCTCGGCCCAACAGTCCGACCCAACAATAGTTGTGGGCCTAGCCGAGGTGAGACCCGGGTAGGCTGCGGAGCCATGAGGTCCAAAGGCCGCACACATGGGGGCCCGACCCAAAGCTACACGTGCACATGTGGGCTTCCGTAACCTACACGGGTGAGGTGTGTGATGTCTGTGAGAGAGGGGAAGAAGTGGTAAGTTTTTGGACTTCTTTTCTCTACCTGCTTTATGTGATTTTTCAGCCCAAATTCACAAAACCCACATGGTAATTATCACCTCATTATTTAATTATTATTATTTAAATTAAGAGAATTAATTATATAATATTTTAATCTTAATGTTATTCTAAGCTATTATTTATTATATTATTTATCCTATTATTTATCTTATTATTTTAATGTAATTTTCACATGTATTTTACATGGAATTTACATGGATAAACATTAGATTATTTTAATTATTATTTTATCGTAAGTATATCTCTTAAGATTATTTAATTAATTTATTTGGAATAGAATAATTATTTTATTATGTAAT